TTTATACTAGAGTTATATCGTTATATATTTTGTGAATTTATTTCATTTTGTGTTTTCCAGTCAGTTGGACTGTAAGTGGAATTTCTTTGGCTCTATAGACAGACTTAAAGATTTCTTAGCTGCACTACCAAAAGAAAAGTCCGTGAAAATTTTAAACATATCAAATTTCAACACTTCTGCTTTGAAAAATACAATTGTATAAAAATAAGGTATATTCTGGGAGGTAATATTTTCAGATGATAAATCTAATGAATTATTTCCATTCATAATACATATAAAGATATCTCAAACCTAAAAGAGAAAAAAAAATCCTTAAAAATGGAAAGCTCATCTGAAGAACTTATACAGATGGCAATTAAGCAAACCACATATTTATAATTATTCATGAATGAATTTCAAGTTAAAACATTAATGACATATTTCTATATGTCTGTTGCACTTTATACTGGTTAATAAATATATGGAGGAACTGAAACATTCATAAACTTCTAGTAAAGGAATTCACATGATGTAAATACTTTAATACTAATCTGTTATAAGCATCAGAGTTTCAAAAAGTCAAACATAATCAAGGTGTTTATACACAAATTGCAAATGCCTAATACAGGTGCGGCGCTGTGGGCTAATGTGTCAGACTGTAAAGTCACTTGAACTGCAAAGGATCCTGGTTAAAGCTCAAAAGATGCTAGCTTCTTGGAAACCCTATTCAGGGTCGCTATGGGTCAGATTTGACTTGATGGCACTTAACAACAACAACAATACAGCTGTTTGTCAATTATTTATTCCCACAGTGAGATATTTTCATAATTGTCACTATGATAATTATTTTTATTGTTTTTGTAAATTAAAGAGAAAAATAAAGCATAGCACCTCTACAAAAATATCTTCAATTGGAAATAGTAATTAATAATCATAGACTGTATGTCATTTTTGTAAATTGTGTACTACTATTTTGTGAATTGTATACTACTAATTATAAATTGGTCCTAGACAAATAACAACATCTTTCCTTACAAAGATATGTAAACAAATGTCAAAGCAACTTTATTGGTAATAGTAAAAACCTTGCATCAGTCCAAATGTTCATCTGCTCTAGAGTAAATAGTATATTGTGGGAAATCCAAGCAAATGTATATCACCCAACAATAAAAACGAATGAACTATCAGTACATGCAAAAATATAGATTTAAAAACATAAATAGATAAATCAGACTTTATCAAAATTTTAATAACCCACACTTAAGACATTTATCTCAGAGAAATGAACTCTTGCACTCACACAATAAACATTGCACAAATGTTGGCTGAAGAATTATATGTAATATATAATTATTTATAATCGCTAAAAACTTATAACAACCCCCAATTTTTTTCTATGCATGTGGTATATCCGTAATATGAAACTGTATTCAGCACTGAAAAGGAATAAATTATTAATATAAATAACAATGTTTTTGAAGCCAATAGAATCATGTGAAGACAAAAAATGTCAATCTTAAAAGGTGTTTATTGTTAGCTGCCATTGAGTCGACTATATCTTGACCTTACGTAGAAGAGAGAAAGATGGTTACCTGGCCCTGTGCTGTCCTCACAATCATTGGTGGACTTCTATTGCTGAGCCACTGTGT